AAAGGCACGCGCTCTTCTCCTCCACCCCCCTCCCCCCCCGTCCGGGATCCTGCGCCGAGGGCTTAAAGTTACAGCCCCGGAGCACGAGGAGTCGGGGAGATAAGGGATGAAAGTCCCCTGGAATGTCCCTTGGCCCAGGCGAACCCGACCCCCCGCCCTCCCCCCGGCAGATTATTGAGAAATCGCTGATCGCGCTGCTAAGTTCGACGCCTTCGTTATTGCGCCGGGATCTACGCGAAGACACCGGAACAGTTTTCCAGGAGACGGTTTTCTTCGCCTTCAAATTATTCTACCAATTTAGCTGGAACTTCTTTTCTGGATCTTTCTGCGAAATTATCTTCCGTATAACTTCTGCGAGCTGAAGGCGATATGACTAAATTTTTCAGCAAGTCTTTGCTGTTTCGCCTTCGCGGCAGAAAATAATTAGTTTTCTTTTATAGCGGGAGATGGATTAAAAGAATCCAACGAGAGATGTCCGCGTTATTATTTTCAAGTTACTGGAATTGTTAACAAGACGACTGGCAATATTTTTCGGTGAACGTTATGATCGTTATCGATGTTATTTCTATTCTTCCAATTCTTTTATGCTATGTTTCTTCTCTTTTTCTTTGTCTCGATTGCTTTGTCGCGACAAGTTTAAGGCGATTTACAGGCGATAAGAAGAAAGAAAAATTGAGGAAATATAATATAGTATGCGTATCTCGATATTTATCGAGACGACCAATGAAATGCTTGCTATTAGGCGAGGCCACTTAAATGTCTCGCATTATTAGTCAGTATATTATTATATTAAATAATAATTAGTCAGTATATTATTATATTAAATAATATACTAATATAATATATTATATTATATTATAGTAGTATAATTTATTATATATATTATAGTAGTATAATTTATTATATATATTATATAATATACTGACTAATAATACGAGACATTTAAGTGGCCACGCCTAATAGCAAGCATTTGATTGGTCGTTTCTCGCTACCAAACTTAAAACGGGTTAATTTGCTCCTGCGCCGAACGCTTCAAATAATATCCAGCTTTCTGTATTCTTATTATTTCGCGCACCGTATTGTTGCAATAACTCGGCGCGGTTGCAGCTCGAAAATAGTTTGCGCAAGCACCGTATTTTAATTGAAAGTGTTTCGATGCTGTTGGACAAGTTTCAAGAATCCCGGTGAAATTTCGGAAAATGTCCAACTCGAACGGAGAAGTTTGGAATCGACTGTTCGCCGCTGACAATACCGGGGAAGAGTTCTTCGCGAGTGATTCTTGCGGAGATTACCGCGACGCTTTTCTCCCGTTTCATCCCGGCAATTTCTCCCCCTCTGTTCTGGCTCGGTTTTCAGCTCGCCGGACGAGTCTCTCCCTTGAATAAGCTCTTCGGGAACCTGGTTGCGTTATTACCGAACAAGACGCGCATTCACCGACGGCACGGCCGTTTCGTTAAATGCTCGCCGGGATGTCTGAGCGCCGGCTTTCTCGGTTACGTCGGCAATAATCGGCGAAGATATTGGTTTCCCATGAGCCTGTGCGGCCCTGTACCTGTTTCCGGCCGCTGTCTCATTCAGCGGCCTCAATCGTTCCGGATCGTTGCGGACCCATTCAAATCAAACCGCCGATGTTTATGTAAAATTGCGACGCTGCACGCAGTGGTCATTTTGACGTTTCGAGGAATTGAGAGATCGAATTTTTCGAAATGAAATGTACACGGCATTCTTTCCTATTTTAGTGTGTAACTTTTGTTAAAGAACATCCGGAATTTATCGGCAATTTTTTCCGGGCATTTCTCGGCAAAGATTATCAACTCGAGTATGTTAAGCATATAATTAGGCATATAGAAGGAACTAAACTTCAACGAACAAAGTCTAATCTACGAAAACGACAACGTTGAATTAGTGTCAGATTTTTTAATCGCATTTCTTTTTACTAGGCACATTGGTATTGGCAACTCTTGTACCACAGAATAAAAGATTACATAGATTGAAAGAGTATTTCGTGGTGTATACATTAACAAAAGCCGTTCATATTTTTCGTTTTCTAATCTAAAATTTTACTAAAAAATTTCTTCACTACAAAATTTCGCTTAATTAATTAATACGCACACAGTCACACTAAAAACGAACACGATGTAGGTAAGAAGAAATAGTTACTTTTTTATTCGATCCACAACCTGAGCTCTTACAAAATTATATTAATATAATATATTATTATATATATTGGTGAATAATTTGGAAAGAAAACCTCTTCCTGGGAATATCAAATGTACGAATTAAAATTAATTACGAGAGGAATAAATCTAAAATATAAACGTAGCAAGAAGATGTGTGTACAAAATGTTAATATAAACTTCAAGCATAAATTGCAAGGGTGTGAAAGACAAATGTAACTTGTACGCACGAGACTGAAACGGCGAATGCAAGTTTCGCGTAGTGTTCACGCGAAGATTGCGAATAGAATGTGAAACGTGAAATGTGAATGCGTATGCAGGAGAAGGACATTCGAGGATCAGAAACAGAGCGTTCGGCGATCGAAGCTCGAAAAGCTCTCGAGATTCTTATTAGCGTCAGGCGCATTACCGCGGCGCTAAACTGCTACAAAACGTTTCCCGCGATTTCAGGCTTTCATGCGATACCGTCTCGCCTGTATACGGCCGCGGACTGTTCACCTACTTCGAAATAATAGCTATCGAGGCAGCGGGTATCTATACCGCGGCTACGATACGAGCAGTGAATACATTAACACTGGAAGCTCTGCTCCGTTCGGATAACGAAGATGCTTTAAAATCTAAAAGCCGATCCTCTTTCTCCGTTCCCGCGGAACAAAAAGACCATCCCAACGAGTCCAGAAAAAGAGAGAAAAAGAAAGGAACGAACGGAGGAAAATGAATTTCGGCGGAAAATGAACCGCTCGACTAGCTGTTTTACTTTCTGCTTTGAGAGTTTCTGCTTCCTACAGCGAAACTATAAAGTTTCCGCTATAGTATCACCTGCATTTAGATAACAGAATTGCTTGTGCAGAATTGATCCACTGAAATAGCGAAAAGATCAATTGAACTTAAGCGTGTTGATACATTAATTTCGACTTATTAAAATCATTCGAGAAAGAAAGATTACTGCACTTGGCTCGTTTCACCTGCAATCGACGCGGACGATTTTTATTTCGCACAAATAAGTTCCTCGAGGATGCTAATTATTCTGTTGCCTGAACGATGAAATATTTCTAAGCAAATGATTAATTGATCAAGTTTGCCTGCAATCTGCAAACTGTAAGAGGATTGCAAGAGTGCTCGCTGTCACAAATCTGAGCCCGAGTTACTTCGATAAATAAACAGCTCCGACATTTTCTGAATTTTCTAGTCCCCGTCGAATGTGAAAATCTAGTTGGCCGGAATAATTTATGCAGAGGCGATTACGCGGAATTATCGACCGAATCGTCGGCGAAGGAAAGAGCGAAGCGGAGACCAGAAGGGCGCGCCGCCGAGGCCTGAAGGACAGGGTAAAATATTAAGGGAATTAATTCGGGCGCAGGATTTCCAATGAAACATACATCATCCACGGAAGTCCGTGCGGTCTCTTATGAGCCGGTGATCCAATAAGAGGATTATCCGCTTTAATATTTTCTGAACGACGGAACAAAGCCGCTAAGAAGCTGCGTCGGATACTCGACCGGACCGAGATAGTTCGCGATACGTACGAAAACCAGCGGAGACTTGGTTTCCCAGGCTCCTGAAATATTCCTGCGGAACTTGGTTCTCTCTCCTGACGACCCCCGGGCTCCCTATTCGTCCCCGAGGACCAGCATCGCGGCGCCTGTTCACCTTTAACCTGTCACTGCTTTCGCTGAATCGATTTTTCTATTCTAGCTCGCAGTTGTACGAGCCACCTTCCAATGAATTCTTAAATGGCCCTCTATTGGGTACCATTCTATCCTTGTCCGGCAGTAAATTTGTCCCCCGCGACGGTCGAGAGGAAAGTAAACCTTGATAATGATGATGATTTCGTGTGTTGTGTGTACAGGCTCTACAACAAAGCAAGATCGCTTTGTTTGAAACCGACATGGATCGTGTTAATTTGAAGATTATCGGGGTAACGGTCAGAGGGAGACATTTTTCTAATCAATTTTTAGGCTTCGGGATCGGGAACAGAGATTTTGAAACGTACTGTAACTAGCAGCTGTTATTGTCAATGTTAATTAATAATTCTCTGTACCTTATCATGCTAGCGAAATAATATTGCACGATAGAGCGAAAGAAATCCGCATCAATGGGTGCTGTAATCAGGTTGTCTTAGATCGGCTTAAGTTAGGTTATTTTGGGTTATGTTGGGTTAGGTTGGCTTAGATTTGCTTAGGTTGGCTTAGGTTTGATTAAGCCAGCTTAGATTGACTTGGGTTGACTTAGGTTGATTTGGATTTGCTTGGGTTGGCTTAGGTTGGCTTAGGTTAACTTAGGTTGACTTAAATTGGCTTAGGTTGACTTAGATTGACTTGGGTAGGCTTAGGTTGACTTGGCTTGACTTAGGTTGACTTGGATTGGCTCAGGTTGACTTGGATTGGCTCAGGTTGACTTGGATTGGCTTAGGTTGACTTGGATTGAGTTGGATTGACTTGGACTGACTTAGGTTGACTTGGACTGACTTAGGTTGACTTGGATTGGCTTAGGTTAGGTGCTAAATATTTTACGACATATTTACAAATTATATAAAACACCTGTCTCCAATAGGTTAAGTAGAATACGTCATCCACTGATCAGACATCGTTGCCTCCTTCGAGAGCACACTAATCTAATATCAAAATCTATCAGGACTCGGCACCCAAAAGCCCTCTAAAAAATAGATTCACGGGTCTCGGGAAGAGCCGTACCGTGAATCCTAATCGAATGATCGCGTTCCATCTCTCCGCGAGCGGCACGTTAGATCGTAGAATTTCCGAGTACCCTTAAGTGTCGTTCAGTGTTTCCGCGGGCTTCAATCTGTCTGTACCGTGTGTCCAGCCCCTGGAGGTGCGAGAGATATGCCCGGACCGGTGCTACAAGGCGTGCCAGTTGGCCGTCTGGAGTCCGATTTGCAGTAAGAAGCTTCAGGGTGTCGTGAAGCTGGCCTCGGCGCTCGAGAGCGGAAGATACGTCGCGAGGGACATCGGTAAGTCCACCTCCGGCCGAGATTCCTGTTGCTTTATCGAGCGGACTCGCCGAAGAATAGCCGACCCCCGTCCACCCTTCGCGGGCTTCCGTCCCGTGGAAATGGAACGGCGGAAAAATAGCCAGCGGCCACCGCCGCGTGTCGCAGCTGGTCTCGAAACGGTCCCTCGGAGGAGCGCTCGAAATTTTCGGCTGCGGGCGCACTGTATTTGGCAACCCTAAACGCAAGTTCGCCGTTTGTTCCGAAACTCCGCGATTGCCTGCCGCTGTTGACTCTGCCATAGACGCTTTGTTGACAGCGTTAGAATCGTATTTCCTCCATCCACCTCCACCCATCCTCCCGCCCCCCTCATAATTGAGAACAACGGTGGAAAAGTGATTATTCAGTGCGACATATCGTTTGTTCTTCGGCGGAAGCTGGTTTATCGAGGCAGGATTAAATGACCGCGAAACCAGAGGAGTCGCGTAGAAGATAGTTTAATTGCGATAGCCAAACCGGAGCCAACGAGCACACTGACCGAGTAAATATTGGTTATAAATCTCTGTCACGAAATTGCTGTCCCGCGGCTGGCCGATGGTATCGAAATTAGTCGTAATTAGTCCGCAGATGTTTATGCAGTTATTGCACATGTACCGCATGAATTGCTCGGTACATCGCGGCTCGGCCAATCTAAACAGAGTCTAGTATTTTATGCCCCGTACAATCTGTCGGATCTACTGTTTCTATCGAATTCCGTTACATACATTCAACTTTTGTTCTCCGCACTTTCAGCAGCAGAGTCGGCCAAAAAGTTAATCCTATTAATGGTTCGGATTATCGCGAAGTCGACGACCGGCTGACAAAAGTTTCGACAAGATTTCGAGCTAAATTCTTCAAATACGATACACGAGAAATTATATAGTCTTGTTTAAACATCTTGTTTCGATATCATCCAAATTTCTGTTTCATTAGTTTCGTGTATTATATATTAAAAAAGTAAATAATTTACGTAAAATAAAAGTCCAGTTTAGTCCAACATATTTGCTCTCCCTTAACACGTTCCGTGCCACGTGTACCATCGATGGTACACGCTTGCATGTTTACTTAGTGAACTGAACAAATTGTTTACAAGAAATTTAGAACCGAAGAATCAATTTCCACCGCAAGAATGGGCGTTGATAAGTTTTTGTTACGTTGTTATGTGTACGAGAATTAATAATTGCACGTAATACATCAAGTTTTAGTAAAATATCAAAGTGTGAAGATT